GGGGGGGGGGGGGGGGACCGCAGACAAGCCCAGAAGCGCCTCTCTTCAGCCTGGTGGAAGACCTCCCCTGGCCTCTAGGGAGGGAGGGAGGGAGGGAGGGGGCATTTCCACGGGGCCGCCCAGGCCCACCCCACCCCTCTTGGGCTCTCCCCGCCCTTACCTCCTTCCGCCACTTCAGTTCACAGAAAATGCGCTCAAAACACTCGTGCATGTAGTTGAACTGCAGGGAGAGAAAGATCAGGATGGGGGCCCAGGGCTGCTCTACCTGGCCCTCGGCCCAGCCCGGCTGCAGCTCCTCCCTCTTTCCAGGGCTCCGGACCACCCCCCACCCCACCGCCTCCTAGCCCCCTGCACTTACGTAAGGGGTGAAGATTTTGACCCATCGTGGCTTCTTCTCTCCTCGCGCGTATTCGAAGCAGAACGCCATCCCCTCTTCGTCGGTGTCCCATCGCTGCATCTCGTCCCATTCGAAAGCTATGACTTGATTCTGGAAGGATAAAACCACGCTAAATGCAGCTCCAGAACGGCGGAGGGTGTCAGGGGCCTTCCGGGGCAAGTCTCTCTACACCAGAGTTTCTCAATCTTGGCAACTTGAAGATGTGTGGACTTCAATTCCCAGAATTCCCTAGCCAGCATGCCCACACAAGCTTCAAGTGCCGAGGCTGAGAAACGCTGCTCTACGCTGGAGACATCTGCAAGTTTATCCCTGCCTTCTGCTCTGGCATCTCCTTTCAGGGCTGGCCTTTTCTCCCAACCCCTGGCAAGCCCATCTAAGCTTGACCCTAACTCCATTCTCCAGTCATCGAAGCAGGTGAAATGCAACATCTCTCACCATTCTGACGTCGTAGCCAATTTACTTCCCTGGAAAACATCCCCCTGCCCCCAAGTTTCACGTTCAACTTTTGAACCCTTTTTCAACACCATATACATTTTTATCTATTTTTCTACCAACTTGGTGCCTCCTCCGGATCTCTCAGGGTTGGAGCTTTGTAAACGCCCACGCCCCCAGGCCTGGCAGATCTGGAGGGGAGCACCAGGTTGGAGAAAAGGAGCTGGACCACACCGCCCCCTTCCTGCTCCGAGAGCTCACGGCTGCCGACCTCCAGCTGGCCCTCCTCGGTGCAGGCGTGAAGCTTAAAGTGCTGGACGCTGATGGCTGTGATCACGTGGCCTTTGCGGCGCGAGTCACAGGAGCAGTGGGGGAAGATGATCTCGTTGTACCCCTCGCAAGTCCGCAACATGTTCAGATACTGGGGGGAGAGGGAGGGAAGTGAGGAGGGAAGGGGGACAAAAGACTCGGGGGGCAGGAACCTGGATCAGGTTTGCCCTCGCAGGCCTTCCCAGCAAGGACCCCGAGGAATCCAACTCGGGTCTCAGCAACCGGACTGGCTTTGCCACCGCTCGCTTAAGGCAAGTGTGAAGTGCCCCCCGAGCACTACCCCAGGGGGAAGGAGGTGCGCAGAGCCCACAGCTCCCAAGGCCAGCTTCCCACCAGAAAGAGGAGAAGTGCTTTACCATAACCATCTTCCTCTGCTCGCAAAGCTTCTGCAGCTGGTAGGACTTCTCCTCAGCTTTGATGTATCCTTTCTTCACGTCATCGACCGCCTGGGTGGGACAAACGTCGGGTAGAAGACTTTCCAAAACCTGAAGGATTTTCTGCTTTCCCGGGCCCACCTGCCTCTGCCTTCCTCCCACACCTTTCTCCGTTACCTACAAGGGTGCGGATGGCCGCCTGAAGGGGCCTACCTGGTGGAAGAAATACGTGACCGCCAAATCATTATCGTTCAGGAGAACCTCTTCTTCTGTAGTGAACAGCCACTTCCTGATGGTCAGGCAGGTCCCCGGCACGGCCGAGGTGTAATTCTGCACGTAGAGCTTGTGAGGGAACTCGTTTGGTGCCAGCTTCCGCACTGCAGGAGGGGACAAAGCCAAGCGGGGTTTGCAGAGGTTGGTCCCCTCCCAACAGAAAGGCAAGTCCCACAGCAGAGCGGGCTGGAGGGTGTCAGCCATCACCTGGCAGACCTCAACTGCAACTCATTTTTGGAGATGGTCTGCCTCCAATGTGAGATATTCCCCATATTCCTCCCTGGCTAACATCCCTTCTTTCCTTAACTGGTCGAGCCTCCTCCTGAAGGCACCTGGCCACATCTGGTGGCAGAGAATCCCACCAATTAACAGAAGGTTCCACCTTACTGTCATCTATCTCAAATCTAGAGCCCCGATTCGCGGTTTGACCCCAAGTCAGAGGAACTGGGGGAGGAGGGGAAAAAAATTATCCGGCCAGTGCGTGCCCCACCTCCACGAATTTTGTCAAACTCTAGTCTTTTCCCTAATTTAAACAGCGGCTACATTTGAACTTTTCTTGAAAGAGGAAGCGCTCCTGGCTTCCTACTGGGAAACCTTTCAAGACACAGAAGGAGGCCTGCCATCCAAGGGATGTTTCTTACCGAAAGAATGATTGATCACTTCAAACAAAGCAAAGTAGTTTGCAGTCGCGCTATCCATTCCCACCTTGGAAGCAACAGCCTGGAGACCGGGGGGAGGATGGATGGATGGATGGATGGATGGATGGATGGATGGATGGATGGAAGGAAGGAAGGA